CCATTTTACAGGGGCGTCAGCTCCTCTGCCAATCCATTTATCAGGAAACTGTTCGTGTAGGTGGTTTAGCACAGTTAATGGAAAATGAGGAGGCGCTCCGTCATGTGGAAACAACATGTTATGTCTGAAATCTAATGGAAAATTCTCTAATGAGCCCGGCAATGTATGCTGGAGGAAATTTAAATAAATGTCACTGTCCAAGCTAGCGGGTAAAACAACGGGACCTATGAGATATTCGCCGATCATTCCTGCCCATACATTGAGTCGAACATCTTGCTGAAAATGGCGTTGTCTGATCGCATGTGGATTTTCATCTGAATACACATGATCGTTGTGTGAATTTGTTATACCTATTCTGGTAAAGCATGCGTCATCGGTGAAAAGGATCTCATTATGAAACTTAAGATCTTCAGCCCGACTTTTCAGAATGAATCTACAAAATGTTAGCAGCGATTCGGGATTTGCTGAGTTCTTGAACACTTGAAGGTGATAGGGATGTAGAAGCTGCTCTTTAATATCACTGTGGACTACGTCTTTGGAAACCCCCATTTCATGAGCCAAACCACGAGTACTCCTTCCAGAATGGGTAAAACTGCATTTAGCATGCGATGGGTTTTTTTTCGAAAATTTTTTTTGGTACTTACGTATTTTTGTCTGAAAAACACGAATTTGATAATGAAAATGCGAACAAACCACTATTTATAGAGATATTTCAAAAAAAAGTTCGAAATTTCGACTCCTTTTTCCCCTTGCGTTGGATGCATTTACAGGTACTTGCTCTTCTTATTTTGTCATTGGACACTTTATATACTCATGATGTACTTCAATAACACATTTTTATACAGAAAATTCAACAGGAAATATGATTTTCATGGTGAGTTTTTCCTATTTAGTGAGCAAGCATACCAGATGACGGCCATTTTATCCATAGGCAATCCAAATAGGAGATGTCAAATGTCAATAGATTGCTTTGGAATGACATCACACACGCCATTATTTCAAATGATATTCTTCCTTCTTTTCAATAAATATGGATAAATCACAAGAAAATCATATTTCTAGTTGACTCAATAATAGGAAAAAATGTGTCTTACATTGTGATATATATAAATTGTCCAATGATGAAAAAAGAAGGGTAAATTGTTTCAAATTCAATCCAGAAGACAGGCGGAAAAGAAGGTGGAATTTGTAACTTCAAATTGAAATATCTTGATGAATAATGGTTTGTTCACATTTTCATTATCAAATTCGTGTTTTTCAGACAAAAATACGTAAGTACCAAAAAAAATTTTCGAAAAAAAACCCATCGCATGCTAAATGCAGTTTTACCCCAGAATGTTCTTCTGAGGCCTCTAGAATGATCTCCTCCATTTTTGTGAATTGCGAATTGCGCAAAGGCGTCCACAATTCACATAGAATGATTTGAGTTCACCATTTTCACGAAGACGTCTCTCAATTCTTGCGAATGTCTTATGATTCGTCACCAGACGATTAGGAAACCTTTCTTGGTAAATTCTAACGCTTCTTCGACAATTTCCTTCACAAAAACCAAGGACCAGCAAAATATCAGTTTGTTCACCATAAGAATACGTTGTCGCCATTATCGATAAACTCAACAAGGAACAAGGAACTCAAACAAATAATAATAAGAAACAATATACTAAAACGAATAATAATAAGAAACAAGAAACTCTAACGAAAAACTCACGATATCAAAATTCTACAATGAAATATGTCATGCTGACAAGCAAATGAGAGAGATATTACTGATTGGAAGTTTGAAGAATATATATTCTAGTCAACTAGACATTTTTTCTTAAAAATGCATCAGATCAGAAATTATTTATTTGCAAATGAACCTGGAGACTTATCAGAAATTAGCACTATACAGAAAATATTTCTGGAGGGGATATCTATACAAAATATATTTCTGATGGAGATATCTTTCTGGAAAAAAAGCTTCCAGCCTATATAGCCTCTGAAAAGTTATCACCAAATATGCACGGCAAGATAGGTGTTTGAAACACTTGAAAATTACTGATAATAACCATAAACAATTCAAAACGTGACTTAGTCACAGAACACGACGTGCTAAAAATTATAAAAATCGATCTCAGCTTACTCTTTTTATAAGCAAAATTATTTTTTTTCCAAAAAACTTTAACGCGTTGTATCAACTCAACGAAACGATTTTGGATATAGGTAGGTTGGCAAAAATCAACTTATTTTTATCCCAGGAGTCTACAGTCAAGCCATGTCCCAACCAAATTATTTTTTCAAGAAATGCATGATGCCTCAGATCAGGAATTATTCATTTGCGAATGAACCTCGAGACTTATCAAAAATTAACACGATACAAAAAATATTTCTGAAGGAAATATCTTCCTGAAAAATAAAACTGAAAATCTCCAGTCTAACCTCTGAAAAGTTATCACCAAATTTGTACGGCAAGATGGTTGTTTGAAACACTTGGAAGTAACTGATGATGATCAAAATCATGCCATGTCAAAAATTATGGATATTGATCTCAGCCTACTCTTTTTATGAGCATGCAAAATTATTTATTCCCAAAAAAACTTCAACGCCTTGTATCAACTCAACGAGATGATTTTGGATATGTAGGTTGGCCTAAATCAACTTGTTTCAATCCCAGAAGTCCACAGCCGAGCCATGTCCCAACCTTTTGAAGACCCTGTATAAAACGGTCGATGATGCTGACTTTTCTACAATCTATACATATAACATATTGGTGCGTTATCTGTGTGTTTTTCAGAGAACAGATACTTCACCACTCAACATATCGGTGAAGCTGGCTCATCATAGGCCTTTTCATTATTGATTAGATATTGTAATGATGAACATTGAATGTCATATAAAATATAAAATTGAATTTTGTCAATGTCAATCAATAGTTATTCAACCAACTAGTGTATTGATGAGGGCGATTAATGATCAAGATACTTTAACGTACGAGCGAAGCGAGCGCGTATACGAGTTGATTACAAAATTTTTCCGTCGACTATATTTCTCCTGCAATGAAGAAAACTTGTTTCGCGAATTCATCATTCATCCAGAAACTGCTAAGAATCACCCAGTAGCCTTGTTACTGACATTAGTGACATTTGACATTTGTCGAAATGATCAACATAGAAAATAAATTCCTTGTGTTAGAAAACAGGGATTAAAATCGTGTCAGAAACTTGGAAAGGCGAACCCGTTAACGGAAAATCTTCGATGAAATCCATATTTTTGATTTAAATGCAAATTTCGTAAGTTATAGCATAAACAATGAATGCACGCGGTGTATGTTCGGTTGCCTATAAAACAATCATGCATTAATAGACAAATCGTTCATTAATAGAGGTCATTAATGAACGATTTCATATACATTAAACTTAGTCGTTAATACGAGGTCGACGGAAATAGTTATTTAACCAACTGTGCATTGATGAGGGCGATTAATGATCGAGATATTTTAACGTGCGAGCGAAGCGAACGCGTATACGAGTTGATTACAAAATTTTTCCGTCGACTTTATTTCTCCTGCAATGAAGAAAACTTGGTTCGTGAATTCATCATTCATCCGGAAACTGCTAAGAATCACCCAGTAGCCTTGTTACTGACATTAGTGACATTTGACATTTGTCGAAATGATCAACATAGAAAATAAATTCCTTGTATTAGAAAACAGGGATTGAAATCGTGTCAGAAACTTGGAAAGGCGAACCCGTTAACGGAAAATCTTCGATGAAATCCATATTCTTGATTTAAATGCAACTTCCGTGAGTTATAGCATAAACAATGAATGCACGCGGTGTATGTTTGGTTGCCTATAAAACAATCGTGCATTAATAGACAAATCGTTCATTAACAGGGGTCATTAATGAACGATTTCATATACATTGAATAAACAATAAGCAAAAAATTTACCTCAACCTTAAAATGAAAAATGAACTCTTAAAACAAACTGACCAGATAAAATATCTTGGAATTTGGTTTAATGACAGGTTGAAGTGGGACAAACATATTGATGTTCTGACAAAAAAAATATCTCCAATTATTGGTGCATTGAGAAGATGTCCCAAACTTGATATTAAAATTGCAAACATGATTCTCTACTCTCATATACTGAGTCGTATCAACTATTTAATAAATGTTTGGGGAACTTGTTCAAAGGACAATTTCAATAAAATATCAACATTATATAGAAAATCGTTAAAAGTATTGTATCGTCTCCCATTTGATACACCAACCAATCAATTGTTTGAAATAACAAATACGTATTCTTTAGATGAAATATATAGAATTGAAACTCTCAAAATATCATATAATATCATAAATAAAAAATTGAAGTCGAATTTTATGTTGATACGGAATTCTGAAATTCATAATCATGAAACAAGACAATATAACTTGTTTCATCTTGACGCCGCTAGCTCCATTATCGGACAAAAAAGATTCACTCATTCAGCCTTAACTGAATTCAATAAACTACCTGACCATATAAAAAATTGCAGAAATATAGGTTCATTCAAAAATTAAGTGAAAAAATTGATTATTTCTGAGCAAACTGGATAGAATTGAACATGCCATTTATTTTATAAATATTATTCTTTGTTTGTCAATTTACAGTTGTTGATATATTTTGTATAATGATATGTTTACCTATAGGTATATAATTATGTACTTCCTTATACCAGAGCCTATTCTGTCTAGAAGTTATTTGTTCAATGAATAAATAAATAAATAAATAAATAAATAAATAAATAAATAAATAAACAGTTCTGAATCTGATAGAAATTCAATGATTGTGAGAAAGCGGTGCCGATTTTATTCACATACGAAATTTGTAGCCAACCTCGAATACGAAAATTCATTTTTTTTCTATATTCCATTTAATTTATTCCAATTTCAGGTAATTTCAATAAAAATGATTCAAATTATGAAGTGTGGTGTGACAGTATCAGTGAAAATGGTTATTCGAGTGTTAATCAGTTTACCATTGGAAACCAAATGTCTTTCTGCGAGAGTCAACCACAATCTCCTTCTGAATTCCGTAGGAATACCGCCTGGTAGTTGAGCGACCATCTTCATTGCGGCTGCCCATTGTGCGAATCCTGTATCACCAGGCAAAGGCTGGATGGTGAACCTCATATCTTCTGCAGGGTCGAATTGAGGCACACCTGGAACAGAAGATGCTGTAGTTTCAATACAATTGGTTCATTGAAACAGATTTCATACAACAACTGTTCCAATACAACAGTTGTTATACTACAACACACAATAGTCCTCATACAATATTTCTAATCAAAAATAAAAAAAAATCCTGTCCCTGTCACAGTGTTTGACGCCCAACTCCTTCGAAACGGCTCGACCGATTCGTATGAAAATTTCTGTGGGTATTCGGTAGGTATGAGAATCGGTCGTAAGCTATTTTTTAAATTAAAAATTCAAGATGGCGGATCCAATATGGCGTACGAGTATTTTAATCCGATTCTATTCAAAATTTGCATCCAGGGGTTTCGTCGGAGATTATGATTCTTTCGTCAAAATTCGGAAATTCAAGATGGCGGATCCAATATGGCGGATGAGTTTTGTAATTATGGTCCGATTCTATCCAGAATTGGTATCTTGGGGTTTTCGGAGTCGGAGCTTATGATTCCCTTGCCAAAATTTGGAAATTCAAGTTGACGGTTCCAATATAGTGGACTACTATTTTAATTATGGTCAGAAAACATTCAAAATCTGTATCTGCGGGTTTTTGGGGTCGGAGATTATGATTCTCCGTCAAAATTAAGGAATTCAAAATGGTGGATTCAATATGGCGAACAAGCTTTGTAATAAATAGAAGTTTGAAAAACTAGAACCACACGTTTTTAATGGATAGCCAAACTGAGAAGCAGTAGCAAACCAAATAATGAGAGTGTTTTGATGAATATTCAACTGAACAAATATTTTTGCTTTTGGGTGTATGATAAATTGACATTCATCATACAGGGCGTGGAAATGAATTCTGAATTGAGACTCTATCACGAATCTGCGATTAGAGGTCTATAAAAATCACAAGTTTCCATCGTTCAAGTTTGAACCCCCTGATTGGGTATAAAAGTGTTGAAAAGGAATATTCTCAGATGAATTATGAACATACAAAAAAGGATATATATTTATATAAAGCAATACATTGAGAATTCGTATTCTCTATGTGATGAGAATATTTACTCTTTTTCAGGTAATTCAATAGAAAACAACTACTTTCCTGGCTATATGCCACGACGAACATTGAATTATATCTATTGAACACACACGATAAGAGTTTGAAAATAAAATATAAGAATTTCTGAAATTGAGAATTTGCATTCTCCTTCAGACAAAAAAAAAATGTATATACACACATCATTCTGAATATTCAACAGAAAACAACTACTTTCCTGGCTATTTGCCACGTCGAACATTGAATTATATCTGATGAACATTCAAAAGGGAACATGAAAAATAAAGAATAAAATCCTCCGAAATTGAGAATTGACATTCTTCTTCAAATCGGTTGAATAATATGATGAATAATGATATAGAAATATGACTTACCAATATATTCAGCATTGAAATGAAAATTGGAATGTATAGAATGGCTGTAAGAATAAGTGGACATCATGGTTACTGATGAGGATTCAGAGAATCGAAATGGTTTCATTGCAATAAAGTCATATAACCTGTGTGTGTGAGATGATATTTTCCATATCACTGATATGAATGATTATTTTTGGAAGTTTTCAAGCTCATCAAGATCAGACAGAGTTCATGCCAGTATACTTCTCCTATACATTCCAATTTTCATTTCAATGCTGAATATATTGGTAAGTCATATTTCTATATCATTATTCATCATATTATTCAACCGATTTGAAGAAGAATGTCAATTCTCAATTTCGGAGGACTTTATTCTTTATTTTTCATGTTCCCTTTTGAATGTTCATCAGATATAATTCAATGTTCGACGTGGCAAATAGCCAGGAAAGTAGTTGTTTTCTGTTGAATATTCAGAATGATGTGTGTATATACATTTTTTTTTGTCTGAAGGAGAATGCAAATTCTCAATTTCAGAAATTCTTATATTTTATTTTCAAACTCTTATCGTGTGTGTTCAATAGATATAATTCAATGTTCGTCGTGGCATATAGCCAGGAAAGTAGTTGTTTTCTATTGAATTACCTGAAAAAGAGTAAATATTCTCATCACATAGAGAATACGAATTCTCAATGTATTGCTTTATATAAATATATATCCTTTTTTGTATGTTCATAATTCATCTGAGAATATTCCTTTTCAACACGAACAAATATTTTCTAGAAATTAATGTTGAAAGCGAAATTACGTTTTTCGGGTCAGCTATCATTGTAATAATTAGTAGTTTCGACAAACAAATGAAACATGCTTCCATAGCAAACTGAAAAGAAGTAGAAAATAGAGAATATATAGTTTAATAAAATTAAGAAGAAGAAAATAAATAGAATTGTTTGAAAAAGTAAAGGAACACGATTTTATGGATAGCCAACGAAGTAGAAAATAAAATGAAAGAAATAATGTTCATGGCAGAACAACGTTTGCCGGGTCAGCTAGTGAATATATAATATAACATATAATTACTATATGGAAGATCTTGATCGATATTCCATACATTCGAATTCCATGAAAATTCGAATCAATAGGTGAGTGAACCGAAACTAAGCTAAGAAGAAATCTTCCATGTGCTGAGTGATGCATTTTCAACAAAAACACGAACTTATTCGAGCGGATAAACTCAATAAGATGTATGTGAACTCGTAAAACCCATTCATTCTGATAATCCCCCATCCACATCGGGAGTCGCTAACTCGAATCTGAATCACCAATCAATCTATGCAACTTCAGCTGCCCCTCTACCTGACAACTGATAACCAAACATAACCTAACCGAACCTGACCTAACCTAACTGACGAATTCAAAATCGAGGTATCTTCGATCCAGCGACAAAAATAGGAGTTGTGAATACCGGTCCAAGGATTATTTAATTTCCTGAAAGATTTTGGGTCTCAACCGCAGACAGCACCATATTTTTCATGCATATTCATTGAATATTAGTTTTGGATATTGGGAATCTTCATGAACATGCCAGGAATATACATATATTCTACGGAATATTCCCTGAATGTGCTGGTGGGAAAAAATGTATACATATATTCATAGAAATTTCATAAGGAATATTCCCTATTTATTCAGAATGTACCTATAATTTTCTGGAAATATTCAGATAATATTCGGAATATTCCAGGGATAGTACAGGAATATTAATAAGTCAATATTCTTGGAATATTTCACTGAACATATTCATAATTGAACAAAGCTGACCCAAGATGGACTCGAACTCGTGACTTTCAGATTGTCAGAGTAACGCCTCAATCACTAGGCCAGTTGAATGATATTGTACATAACTTTCTAAGAAGCGTTGTTCAGAATCGAATCATAAACACTTCATGTTTCATAATCTTGATATATAATGAAGAGGACCCTATATGGGCTCGAAAAATGTGACAGAATCAGCTGTTTTGGATATTGTAACAGAGTTCCAAATGCAACTTGGTGCTGATAAAATGTGTAGACTTATGTCACTTGACTTGCACAAGGCATTTGATACTGACAATCATGAAATTCTTCTGAAACTATCATTTCGTATCGGAATAAGAGGCTCTGTTTATAGGTGGTTTCAAAAATATTTGAGCGAAAAAAAAACAATTTGTTTATTTGGAGCAAGTTTCAAGTTGACCCGAAGAAATGAGATGTGGGGCCCCTCAAAGATCGATATTAGGTCCTGTTATATTTCTGATATATATATAAACTCAATTGCCAACCTCAGATGGAAAATGAACATATATATGTTTGCGGATGATACAACATTCATCTACTCGGAAAGTTCGGCTGAAGAAATCAAGCGAAACTTAAAAAAAATGAGTATTAATCACAACAATTCAGCTTTCATGTATACAGAGTGAAACATTCAGAAGATTGGAATGCTTTGATAATTGAACATTCTCTATCCGTCTGAAATATTTTCATCGATACAGTGTTGCCACTTCTATCAGAAACAACTAGCAACTTTGTTATTTCAGATGGAACACCCTGTATTTTATTTCATTCTTAGATTCTTCCTGAAGAGCTGATTTCATAAACGTATCACACTTGGGGTCTAGCAGGAATGATTTTTCAATGTCAAGATTTTTTTGTCGAAACTATTCATCATCGATCAAAACGGCTTACATGTCCACATCTTATAACTTTTGATTCACCATCTACTGGGATTTTGCAACAGCAACCATGCATCAGATGGATGTGCACTATTGTACACGTCATGTTTTTTCCCGAACAGTTGAAAGAAGAATACATGTATGTACACAAAAAATAGTAAAAATACATTAATACACTAAGAATTGTGAAAATGAACACCTACACAAACAATAAAATTGACTCTATTGAGTCGTCAAGTAACTCACTCACGGCATAATATGCCTTTCGGAACATTCTTTTTTTAAGGCCTTTCTTGAATGAATCACGCCTCATGTTTTGTATGTTGATGGAAAGTTTGTTAAATAACTTTGCACCAACATATCCTGGGCTCTGCTCAAATTTTGTCAGCCTGTGTTTAGACTTAATCACGACATAATGCACCAGCATCTCTTGCAGGGTAATGATTATGATAAAAGGAGTTCTGTTTATATTTATGAAAATTATCTCTCACGTATATGAGTACTTTATAGATATACACGCAAGGAAATGTCAATATCTCCTTCTAGATGAAGTTGGATTCACAACTATTTCCAAATTTCATATCAAACATTTGTCTTAGAATTCGTTTCTGGCTGATAAAATATCCTTTCGGATTTAGTGCAGTCTCCCCATAAGATGACATCATAGGACATGTGGCTGTATACAAGTGAATAATACATATCAACAAGCACAGTTTTTTTTTATTTCAGTATTGTGAATAACCCACAATTGAGTTACTTCTATCGCTGTTGAGCTAGAATTATTCTTCGTACATTCAAATTGGAGGTAAACTGTTTTTTCTACACTCATTACGAGTTATTGGCACCGCACCATATTTCGAAAGAATTTGTCACATTTGTAATCGTAATTTTAATTTCTTCCAGAG